GTTGTATTACGCTTTGGGAACGGATGCAGTGAAACTGGAAGAATTTCGCTTTTTTATTTACGAGCGACCATCTGCGTTTCTGTTCCCATCTCGCAAAGGCAGTTGCGTCACGCTAGAACGCGCACTGTCTGTTCTTTTGGATTCGCCACAGGTGTACAGTACTGTATTGGATGTGAGTGCGGTGTGCGCCCTTGCGGAGTCATTGGCCCTTGCGGAGGCATTTGTTAAAATGATGAATGGATATGCAGCAAAGTCAGGAGCTTTAGCGTTTGTGCCATTTGACGTCTGTGCCGCAATTCAACTGACGGATGGTGGACGACAATTGCTGCTCTCGTGGCTGGCAAATCACCGTTGGTTAATCATGCTTCCACTTTCTTTTACGCTCCAACGCTTGACGGGCGTCACTTCTTCTGCGATGTCGATATCTCCCTCGCTCCGGCAGCAGCCGTGCATTTTTTTATTTTATGCGTTGCGTCGTGTGGGTCACGCAAAGGCCGCATTTGTAACTGCCGCCTCGCCTGCCGCGGAACTGGCAAAGGCGGAAGGTGTGCACCCCGTCATTACGGTTGAAGAGCTGAAAACACGTCTCGGTCTTCGTTGACAGTGTGCCCCACCTGGGCACTGTGTGGGGGAGGTGCGTATGGTAAAGGCAAGGCACCTCGAGTACATGCGATGTGAGAGCCGAAGGAAGAGGAGGACACATGATGGAAAAGAGAAACATGCAGACAAAATAAAAGGAAAAAAGGGCGGTTCTTTTAAGGCACGACCTTTTTTTCTTAAACAAAGAAAAAAGAAAGGCATTCTCATTTCTGGGGAAGGCTGTGATGGTAGCAAGGTTACCCCGTTATCCTTTTAATTTTATTTTTGCGTTTCCGAGCCAAATACTAAAATTCTTGATGCCGTCTTTACGTGTTTTTGTGTACGCACGCAATAATGTTGTTTTTTAAAATTTTTTTTTTCTTTTTTTTTTTCTTCTTGTATTCTTTTATAGCGTCTCTTCTTCTCCCTTTTTCTTTCTCAGTTTGCAGAGATATGGCCGTGCCAACAGAGGCGGTGAAAGAAAAACCGCCGCTTCATGCGTACCCCGAGGCGAAGGTTGGGACTCAGTTTTTTTCTCATCATGGCATTTATTCCGAGCGGTATAATGGCGTATGTGCTCTCACAGGCTCCATTGTTCTTATGGCGTCTGGAAGGTATGTTATGTTTGTGGATGTGGTAAGCGGTAAAATAATGTCGACCCCAGGTCCTGAGAATGGTGGTGTGGGAGCAGTTGCGGTGCATCCTTCGCGGCGATTTTATGTTGTGTGTGAGAAATTGCCGGAAGATCCATTGATTCGTGTGTACACCTGGCCCTCGCGCAGGGAGGTGGGGCAGTTTGTGGGCGGCGCTACCAGAGGATTCAGTGCATGTTGCTTTAGCGCGGATGGAACCATGATGGCAACTGTTGGAATGTACCCTGACTATTCCCTGGCAGTGTGGAACTGGAAAACACGGGGGATGATTTTGCGCAACAAGTGCTATGGTTCTGATGTGTACACGGTCTTGTTTAGCTCTTTTGACAGTGGTGTTCTTGTGACAGGCGGGGCAGGACACATCAAGTTTTGGTCGATGGCAAAGACATTCACAGGACAGAAGCTGCAGGGAGTTTTGGGTAAATTTGGAAGGCTGGAGATAAGCAATGTGCCGGGTTTTGCCGTATTGTCGGATGGCAAAGTGCTCTCGGGCTCCGAGAGTGGACTTATCCTCCTGTGGGAGGGTGATCTTGTGCGCTGTTGCTTTGTTCGGGAGATTAAGAAGACCGCGGTGGATGGAGCAGCTGCTCTGGCGGTACAAACATATGATT